CATTTGCATGATGATCAAGATTTTAGTTTTGATAAATTATCTAATATAAAAAATCAACTTTTTTACATTTTATACTTCTTATTTCCGATTCACGAAGGGAATTGAAAAGTTTTATTTTTCGACACTCAACATGGTGACCATGGAAATTGTATTTTTTTGAACATTTTGTTCTTTTTGTTACACACAACTTGAAAAAAAAATTAAAAAGAAAAGCCTTCGAGAAGCTGTTTTTAATTTTTTTTTGTTATATTTCCAATGTGGGAATGTTATTACAAATGTTATTTTATAAAATTTCAAATTAATCAATTAAAACATACTTAAATGACTATCATTTCTAAAATAATATTTGTTAAAAATCGCGTTTAAAGACGAACTGTAAATTTTGCAATTTTTAATGGTTCATAATTTTTTAAATATTTACCTACAACAACTAATCTATATTCATTTTTGTGACTTTAAATTAGTGAAAAAATGAAAAGAATTTCCATTTTTTTTTAATTTCTAAAAGTTCTATAATCCCTTAAGAACATAAATATAAATTTCATTTATTATTTTATATTCTTTATTGTTTCGGAATCTCTTTATACTAACGCAAAATCTAATAGAATTTGGTAGATAATAAATATATAATATTCGAGAATTCGTATGTTTCCAATATGGAGTCATCCCGTATAGATATATGAGCGCGCCTTTGCGTCCAGCTGCGATCGGTAGAATCGCTGCAGTTTAACTGTATCTGCACACGGAAGAAGTGCTTCCGCGTTATTCGCTCGTTATATACATCTGCTATTGTCGTGAACGCGAACTATAAGCAACAGTTTTTTAGCTGCTATTGCTAAATCAGATAACGAGAAATTCTATTATGTAATTTCTTCGTGTGATTTAAGCGAAATATTGTGCTTATGATTAATTTTTTAGATAAAGTAAATCATTATAGCAGGACTGCAAAATAATGAATTGTGTAAGAGTCAGCTACAGATAGGATTTACATGCTGCTTTT